AGGGAAATACCTGGTAAAGCGAAGGAGTGACGCTACATACTAATAAAATGGACAGCCTGCAGGAGGACAGTCTTAGTATTTGACAATACATCACATGAAAAAGAAATGAAAGAAGCGAATCAAGAACGCAATAAAACAAAAGAGCTGAGTAAATCTCGAAGACCAAGGTTGCGGGAAGAATAAAATTAGCCAATAACCAGTAGGCGATACCAGAAAAAGTTTACTTAAGAGGCATCGTGGAAAGGCCACAACTGGATACGAAAACAAGACCCTGAACTTCAACGGAATACAACATCCAAAAGCAGATATGCGGACAGACTATATGTCCTTCGAAAAGATGACTTCGTAGTATGAAGGAAAAGTTAAGCGAAGGATGACTTCGTAGTATGAAGTGTATGCTGGAACTAGAGATATCCTCCATAAGGCAACGTCTGGCTAAAAATGTGAGAGAGAGAGAGAGAGAGAGAGTTGGCTGCAGTAGAGATTCCCGCGCAAATTGGAACAGCAAACACCTGGAAATGCAGAATTTCATCATGAAAAAGTAAAGAACGCCAGATAAAATTGTTGGAAGATAAAAAGCTTGATGGAGAGTATCCTGGAAAAGTCGGTGAAGACAGAGAAAAATGCTCATAATCGAGGCCAAATTGCATTGGATTCATAATATGAAAATTAGTCTCCATACAGAGGTAGCAATCATGATCAGTTCTATTGCCTATTGTATGGTATAACTCGTACACTATTCATTCGATGAAGAAAATGCACGGGAGGGACTACAGTCCAAGACTTTCAGAGCAACACCGGTAGCTCATCGAATGCCATATCGTGCGACACAGCAGCAATGTCGTTAAACATGAGTTAATGTACAGGCAGGAGAGTACAGAACAAATAATAAACATAGATACTGAACCCATATATACATATATGCTTTATTTACTAAATTAATTGTGAAAAATTCTAAACATACTTCGGTCCCCTGAGTTCGATGAGGAGCTCATCGATGCTGACTTCAGCTGAAAACTGAAATACCGGATTGTTGCGGTAGGTATCATGGTAGTTGGGACAGCCGCCTGCTGTTTTCCCTTTCCACTCGCCGGTTTTCTAACAGAAGCAGAGTGTTAATAACATGAGAGAAATGAAAGACAGAATTCATATAGATATATTCATATGTACGAAGAAGCAAGTAAGGTTTCCTAATTTCCGAAAATCATTAAAGACAGATCAGCAGCATAATACAACGAATCGGTCCATTGTGTGACTCGTCAA